GATCAATATTTTCTGTCTTTTAAGAAGCAACACTAAAATGGCTTCAATACGGACGCAGTAGCGACATCTAACAATAAAACCATAAAATAGTTTCGAAACAAAATTCAGATTTCCGCTTTTACCTGTGCTTTCTAAAAATTGTGTTTCGAAACTATTTTACGGAAATAAACTTTGGTTTGAGAATAAAGAATATTGAAATTAGCTTGGAAGAAATTAGTTTCAGCTGGGATTTGAAAATGCTATAGCTAAAGTTGGAGAAATTTTTGTTATGCCACCATTTGTCAACTAAGTTAGACGGATATTTTTTACAATAGGTAGGTTTGGTTATTACCTTGACATTTAAGGATAAACGTGTTAGCTAAAAAAGATGTCTTAAATGTAATGGAGGTTCCATACATTCAACTAATAGATTTTCAGTAGGTGTAGATTAAAGTGCACCTAAAACCAAACGTAGAGCTTTGTACTGGATTCGGTCTAATTTTTCTAAAGTCTAGTATTTGTAGTAGACCCATATAAAACGCAACCATAGTCAAGAGCTGACCTGGTATGTGCTTTATAAAACAATAAATTAACCTTAGTGAGAGCGCCCACCAAAGTGGCGTGGCAGTGGCAAGCAGCAAGTAGCACGCGTCTAGCATAATGTAACCAATGAAAACGAATGATTCAGTTTACACCAAAATTACAGTGACGTCATTCATTCTAATCATTCGTTTGGATTGGTTACATTATGCTAGACGCGTGCTACTTGCTGCTTGCCACTGCCACGCCACTTTGGTGGGCGTTCTCACTTAGGTTCAGCGCCCCATTGGTGACGGTTAACTACCTTTAAAACATTTAGGCTTTTTTCGCATTTAATTAAACAGTTATTAATATGTTCTTTCCATGTTAATTTAGTATCAAGTGTGACGCCAAAATAAATATAGTGTTTTTGAACAAATGTACTTAGATTATCAATTCTAATACAGGATATATTCGGTAAGCGATGACGAGTAAACAACACCATAGCGGATTAATTCGAAGTAAGTTCCAACCCTTGGTTAAGAAAGTATTCTCTTAAACTGTACATAATTTGTTTTATTGCATCAATACATTCCTGATAAGAATTTATAGAAGTGTAAAGACAGAAATCATCGGCGTATTGTAAAATATTACAATTAATACTTATATACTATATAGATCCATAGTATATAGATTCAAGAAGAGAAGACTAAGCACAGATATATATATATATATATATATATTATATATATATATATATATATATATATATTATATATATACATTCGGTTTTATAACGTCTTACGACGTTGTCCGACTCCCAACCGCCACTGTATTCGGTCTTGAGTTAGGTCTTCGTCCAGATTTCGAGCGCTAATCGCTTTCCTAACTCCCAGGTTCCAGCTCTGTGGTGGTCTTCCTCGTTTCCTCTTCTCTGGGGGTTGCCACATCATCGTTTTTTTAGGCAATCTTTCGTCCCCATTCGGCTCACATGTCCATACCATATGAGCTGTTTTCTCTCAATATCCTCAACTATAGTGCCCTCTATACCCATTTGTTGTTTTATCACTTCATTCCGTATTCTGTCGACTCTTGATATTCTCATCGATCTTCTGATGGCATCCATTTCCGTGGCTTCGACCTTTTTCTGTATATTTCTCGGTTATTCTCCATGTCTCAGCTCCATAAAGTAGGCTAGTTTTAACCATTGTCTCATAGATGTTCCATTTTCTTTTCTTTGATATTTCTTTACTCCATAGAACTCCGTTCAAACATGCTATAGCTCTTCGTGCTTGTACAATTCGATGTTCTATTTCTCGTTCGTCTTTTCCACTACGGTCGAAGATGACGCCCAGGTATTTATATTCGTGACATGGATTTACTTTTTGATTGTCATCAATATTGAGTTGTTCTGCTTCAGCTTCAATTGAGAGGTATTTTGTCTTTTCTAAATTGATATTTAATTCCCATTTCTGGTATTCTTCAATTAGTTTTCTAAGCATGTATTCCATGTCGTCTTTGTCATTTGAGATCACCACCTGATCATCTGCAAACTGTAAAGTATATATATGTAATCCTGATCGTTCAATTGTATACCCATTCCTTTGACTTTCCTTTTCCATTGTTTCAGAGCTGCAGAGATATAAATCTTAAACAGAGTCGGAGAGATACAACATCCTTGTCTGAGACCCTTAGTAACTGCAAATTTTTCAGCTAAGAGATTTCCGAATTTCATTTGGGAGTTTGAACCATAATATAGATCTTTGATAGCACTAACCAATGTTTGATGTATATTTGATGTGCCCAGGACTTCCCATAGTTTATTTAGCGGGACTGTGTCATATGCCTTCTCAAGATCTACAAAAGTCATATGTAACTCTCTATTTGTCACAACTTTCTTTTCTATAATTTGTTTAAGACAGAAGATGTTATCTGTACATGAACGACCTGCTCCAAATCCTCCTTGTTCTTCGTCTTCAGACGATTGATAATCTTCCTCTATCAGGTCCCGTAGTATTCGACCGTATAGTCGACTCATTGAACTTGTGACCGATATCCCTCTATAGTTTTTACAATTTCTCCTGTCACCTTTTTTATATATTGGGGTCATATTTGTTTTCCATTCATCTGGTGTTGGATGTCCATTAATATATTCGTTAAATATCACCGTGATCATTCTGTGTAATTTCTCTGAGCCATTCTTTATTAATTCCGTAGTTACTCCCTCTGGTCCACTTGCTTTCCCATTCTTCATCCCTGCTATAGCTTTTTGAACTGTAAAACTGCTAAAAATCCCAAAAAAAGCCTAAGCACAGATCCCTGCGGAAAACCTTGATAAACTAACTCTTGGACCAATCAATTTATTATTGCACCAAATAAATACTTGTCTACTAACAAACAGAATAACCAATACCTGTGCACATCTAGTTGGGACGATATGTCTGAGCTTCTCGAAAAGTGATCATCGTTACATAACGTTAATTCAGAATGTCGTGAAGTTAAATACGAGTGGGTTTCACTCGATGAGTACATTAGGCATATTGATTATAAGCTTATATGCCTTATTTGCAATAAAGTTGTAGCCGTATTCAAGAAATATTCAACCTCTTACAGCGGTTCACGACAAAACATACCTACCAAAGCCCAAAGAACTATTTGTGGATAAAAGTCTTTGGAGCTCATTTGATAAGATGCCTAAGTTAAATATTACCATTTTAATCAGATTGTGTGTGAACCTGTTCATAATTGCTAAAATTTATATGATGTAGAAAAATTAAAGACAATAAAACTAACAAAAATGTTTTTAATTAAATATTTTTTTTATTGTCCGCCGAATTTTAAATGTCGAGGACGCTGCTTAATACAAAATAATACTTAATACATAAAACTTAAATCTTCTTTAAACAAAGCAAATATTAGATCATGAATAAAACCTCCCAAATTATTGTTGCTATGTAGAAATAACATACAAGACTAATGTATAACAAATATTAATAAATCATTGTATAACAATATGGTTATATGATTATCAAACAAAAGTATAATAACATTTTTGATAAATATGATCTTATACAGTATATATAATTATCAAAGTTTTTAAAACAATTTCCCTATTCTTTGTCTAAAAATGTTGAAAATGAGTTTTGAGTTCTCGTAAGTTAATACATACATGTACCCTTCAAGGTATGCTTCGAATAGAAAATGAGTCTCAAGCAATCTAAATTTCATGCTATAAGTAACTCAAATATGTTACTAGGCCAGGAAGTTAATTCAATTCCATTCTGCATATGTGGTTATTCCATTCTATTTTGTATCCATTTATTTATACACTGTACGTTACATTTTCTTCTAATTTCTTCACTTTTCTATCGATCTCTCACCGTATTTCCTGTAATTCTTCTCATTACTCTCAACTCTGCCGTTTCCAGTAGCCTTTGCGTTGGGACTGTGTCGGGTCTTGTTTCTGAGGCATATGTTGTTATTGATCTTACACTGGCTTAATAAGTTCGTAATTTTATCTTAGTGTTATTGTGTCTGTTTCGCCATATAGTGTTATTAAGGCATCCTGCCAGTTTATTTGCTTTTTGTACTTGATCTCTCACTTCTTTGTCCAAGTCTCCATAGCTATACAGTGTAATTCCCAGGTATTTTATTTCCATTACTTGTTTATTACTGATGTCATCAATCTCTATTTTATATCTGGTTGGTTATTTGCTCACTTCTACTGTTTTACTTTTCTGAGATGAGATGGTGATATTACATTCTTTTACTTTTATATTAAATGTGTGGACCAGTCTTTCTAGACTATCGTTATCTTGGGCTATCACTATTGCGTCGTTTGCGTAACAGAGTATTTTTACTTCTTTGTTTCCCATTCTGTATCCTCTTCCTTTGTTAACGCTTTTGATGATTTCATCCTATGATGATTGCCGAAATTTGATTCAGTTGCTCTCTCCAATGCTCTTTCCCTTGTCTCTGTTCAAATGGCAACTATCGCCTGTTCTAGAGAACCTTTGTTGTTCATAAGTTTTGATCATAATAGTAGACTGTTGTAAAATCGTACAATAATTTATGGGAAATACTTAACCAATTTCCGGTTTGAATGCAGTAGTGCAGAACTTTTTAGAGCGGCAGTCAACAGAGTCCGCATAGCCATGATGATTTCCAACCTTCGATAGAAGATGGAACTTAAAGAAGAAGACTTAACCAATTCTGCTTTTATTTTCGTGTAAGCTTTCGCAGCACCCAATGCTCTATTTCAGGTGCTAGTGAAACTAAATATCGTTTAAATGCAGTTCAGAAACAGCTAAGTAAATCAAGAGGAATCACCAACAAATTGAACTAACAGCATCATCATATAAAATGGTGGTAGAGTGCTAGTTGGTACTAGGTTGCTAGGTAGTACTTTGTGAATATAGAAATTTAGTATAGATTAAACAAATTCCATAATCGACTGAGAAATCATGAACCGATGATTATATTCTTACATCTAAAACAACGTGTTATTTATGTTTTCCTTCAAGCATCAGTTGAATTTGATCTAAAGTTTTTCCCTTTGTTTCTGGAATAAAGAATATAACATAAAACGATGTTAGAAATGAACATAAAGAAAACAAATAAAAGGGTATATGCATGCCATAGCTATCTTTCAAGTAGTTGTACAAGCTAATTGCAATAATGGCAGAGGACACATAAACTCCATCCACCAAGGCCATCCCCAATGCTTTTATCTTAGAAGCGAATATTTCTGCAGTTATTACTATAGGAACCATCCCCAAACCGTACTTAAATACCAGAGCATACACCATAACAGCCACTAAGGGCAGCCAACTGACATGTTTGTATTCATACCCAGCGTTTTTTATATGGAAATATATAGCCAATGTAAGAAGACAGATTCCTGTTAAAATACTTGAAAGGTAAAGCAGTTTCTTACGTCCAAACTTATCTACTGTTCCAGAAGCTAAACCAGCAGCCAAAAACATAATGGCGGCAAAAATAATGGCTGTTAATGATGGTTCTAAATAAATCGAACCTGCTGATTCTAAGATTTGATGCATGTTCATTAAGATGACATTGATGCTACTAAATTGTTGGGCTGCATTCAAAACTGTCATAATTAACAAGGATTTTCGGTAGCTTTTTACTGTTAATATATCCTTAACTCCACCCTTTTCCGATTTTTGTCTTTCAACAGCTGCTTTGATATCAACCAGTTCCTTCTCTACTGAGCTACTAGATCTATAAAACTTTATAGACTTTATTGCTGCTTCTTCTTGACCACTAAACAACAAATAGTACGGCGTTTCTGGAAGCATGGAAAATACAACCAGTTCTACTACCAATAAACAAGTACCAATAATTGGAGGAACGTAGTAAGGTAAGAAAGGTCCAGTAATATAAATAGTCAATATACCAGTTAACATCATCAAATATATAACACTTGATAAAAATCCTCGGATTTTCTGGTCAGCAATTTCAGCTATATAACAAGGTGCTGCTACAAAAGCCATATCACCTCCTATTCCCGCTATAACTCTCGATACGTAAATAACAGTGACATCTTTGGCAAATATCACTACTACCCAAGCTATCACAAGTAACGCTGAAGCTAGCAATAAAGATCTTTTCCTCCCAATCTTGTTGACAAAATAGGCTGTAAAAGGTAAGCCTATTATAGCACCCATTAACAACCATGTTTCTAACCATTCTGCTTCATGTTGTGTCATTTGAATATGGCTTTTTTCACTGAGAAAATAAGGTATCATTGGAGATGTCCATCCTACTGTCATTCCATCGGATATTGCCATCAAGTTTGCTAAAATATAAAGACCCAATTCAACGAAAATGTAAAGCTCGAAATATTACTTACAATAATATTCATCCAATAATAACCTTGCAATACTGTAACAACTTACTTGGGTCTCTCCGCAAGATAAACTAGGAAACATAATAAGGAATCAAATTGATTACATAATGGTGAACAAGAAATTCCGTAATAGATGCATATCATATTTCTTTAATTTTTTTATTTAGGTTAAGATTTAAAAAGGTTACAAAAAAACATAGTAACAAATAATTTGATATGAGAAGACTACAAGATAAGAAATCAAAGGAGACAGTTTGGATTCTTTCAAAAAAGCTAAGTAACGTGGAGCGAACATATGATCTAGAAGAATTACTCCAGAATATATTTAAACCTTTAACAAAATCAGAGAAGAACATCTAACAGAACATAAAGAGAAGAGTAAAGAGACAATACATCCGGAATAACAATACAAAAGAATGCAAAAAGATATTCAGAGACAAATAAGAAACGAAACACGAAAGGCCAAAGAAAGTTAGTTAAAAATACAATGTGAAGAGATAGAGTTGTTGAACACAACTAGCAAACTAGAAGATCAACAGTGAAACAACATCACAGATAAAAAGCAAGAAATATGCATATGGACCAAATACATACAAGAACTCTTTGATGATAATAGGTCCGAAGAACCTCCATCCTACATATGTAATGACCACTTACCAATCACATCGGATGAAGTGGAAAAAGCAATATCACAACTAAAAGATGTCAAAGCATATGGACCTGACCATGCATGTGCTAAACTTATAAAGCTATTTAACCCCGACATTACTCAACAACTATCAAAAATATTCAATGCAATATATTTAAACGGAGTAATACCAAGGTCATGGCTGAAGTCAACGTTTATTGCTCTACCAAATAGACAAAATCCTGAAATTATTTCCGGACCAGCAGCTTAAAGAGCCACATTTTAAAGTTAGTTCTAAAAATCCTACATCAAATGATATGTAGACTCAGCCATACACAGATTGTTTTATACAGTGGAACTCGCTTATTACGGCCTCGGTAGTTACGTCATCTCGGTTATAACGTCAATTTTTAATAGGTCCGGTCAAAAACTATTCCATAACGTTATTAAAAAACTCGGTTTTATCGGATAAAATAAACTAACCCTCGGTTATAGCGTCATAAAATTTTATAGTAGGTTATCCTTTTTTTATTTTATGAAGAATAAAGTGCAATGCGTTTCTGGCTTTGCGGCATTTGTTCCTTCCAAGAATGTAAGAAAGGTCCATTATCCCTTCTGTGTACAGTTATGTTACCATGACAATCTATAATTTCGCATTTATCAGTGCCGTCCTAACACTCTTTACAGTCAAATTTTCTGTTTCGGAACAGTCGGTTTAAGAAATTTTCGCTACCGTGAAATTGTGTTCGGATCGTTTGTTTTTTTTTTTATTTTAATTTGGTAATTAGCTTTTATTTTTTAATATGGCAAGTTGTAGCACTAAAAAGGACGGTTTTGCCTATTAAAGAAAAAGTGCGTGTTATATAAGAGCATTTGAAAGTGGTCGAAAAATTGCTGATATATGCCGGCAATTTGGACTTGTTAATTCGACTGTTGGCTCAATCATAAAAAACAAGGACAAAATTTTAAAAGCCTTTAAAGAGGACGGAAACAATGTTAAAAAGATTAGGAAGTGCATTCGTAGTGATGTAGATTCAGCTCTACTCAAATGGTTCAAGCAGTGTCGCAGTTCTGATATCCCTGTGTCCGGGCCACTTTTAAAGGAGAAAGCTACAGAGTTCGGAAAATTGTTTGGTGAAGATTTCACATGCTCTAACGGCTGGTTAGATCGGTTTAAAGCCAGGTACTCAATTTCCTTCTCGAAAATTGTTGGAGAGGCAAAATGTGTGGACGAGAACATAACAAGTGACTGGTTACAAAACACATGGCCACAACAAAGGCAACCACACAAAGATGAAGATATCTTTAATGGTGACGAGACAGGTGTCTTTTATAAATTAACGCCAGACAAAACTTTATATTTCAAAAAATGTGTCGGTGGAAAACTTTCCAAGCAAAGAGTGACGGCTTTTATTTGTGCAAATATGACAGGTACAGAGAAAAGAAAGCTTTTGGTTATTGGGAAAAGTTTACATCCTAGATGTTTCAAAAACATTAAAACACTACCTGTAAACTATACAGCCAATAAAAAAGCATGGATGACTTCTGCTATTTTTGAAGAAGAATTGAGAAAGTGGGACAAGGAACTCTCTTTCAAAAAAAGAAAAATTCTTATCCTAGTTGACAACTGTGCAGCCCATCCCAAACTTAATTTGACCAATATAAATCTAGTGTTCTTACCAGCCAACTGCACGAGTGTCTTGCAGCCTATGGACCAGGGAGTCATAAGAAGTTTAAAGTGCCATTATCGAAAACAGCTTTTAAAAAGAATGATTTTTTGTGTGGATAATGGAGAACCTGTGAACATTACCATCCTGGATGCTGTTCAGTTTTTAGACAATGCGTGGAGTGCGGTTACGTCAGTGACAATTCATAAGTGTTTTCGTCAAGCAAAATTGACTGTAGCTTCTCTTAATATTGAGGACGTTGATAAAGATGACGAAATGCCTTTATCATACTGGATACAAAAATTTAATGTGAATCAGGGAGCGTTCGAAACTGATCTTGACTCCTACATTTCAGTAGACGATGAGGTGGAAACATTTCAAGTCCTAAGTGATAAAGAAATTGTTGAACTGGTGCAAAATGTGGAAATGGATGTCGATGAAGCTGAAGAAGAAGAAGACATCGTTGCTTGTCCTACAATCCAAGAAGCAATGAGAGCTGCTGAGACCATATCCAGGTTTTACCAGTTCAGGGAGGCATCCACAAATAACAAAGAAGCAGCCCAGCTTATTAAAGAAACAACAGAAAAACTTTATTTTTCGGAAAGGGTTGTGCAAAAGAAAATAACGGACTTTTTTCAGCAATAGAACTTTTTTACACAATGTAAGTTTCATATACATACACAATATGTTTTGTTTTTTAATTGTTTTTTATCCTAAAATGATTCTTGTTTTTTTTTTAATTTGACTTAAGTAAATGTTATATTTTCGGTATATCGTAAACTATGTTAAATTATCATGTTCAGGCCCAGAGTAATTAACAAATAATATATCTACTATACCCAATAATGCTGTAATAATATTTTCCCTCATTAAAATTTTATTTTTCTCAACCTCTTTTTTAACGTCACTCTGATATAGCGTCATTTTTTTATTGGACCCTTCAATGACGCTATAACCAAGTTCCACTGTATATAATATAACTGTAATGAACGTGCTTAAGACCTTCCTTAAATCTTAACATGCAATATTTTAATATGAGTTTTAATTTTAATTTCAATTTCAATTTTTTGGAAAAAATTATCCGAAAAAAATCAAAACTCTAATTTCTGAAAAAGAAATTACCTGGCAAATGGCAACAAACCTGATCTCCCTAGGACAACAAAAGTCTAAACAATGCATCATATCTTAAGCGAGAAATGCAACGCATCAAGAACGAATCGATTGGGACATACCTTAGCCAGTTAATAGCTGGAAAAAGTAGTAAATAGACTACTACTGTAGTAAAAGTAAAGTAAAAAGACCTACACTACATAACCCACCAATCAGAAACACTGACACAAGCTGAGCTTGAATCAAAGCTCAAAAACCAGTCGCTTTTCACAGCATCTTGAATATACTTTCCAACCAAATAAGGCAAATGACTTGGTTAACGTAAATAGTTTTGAACCAGATCTCTTGGAAATTAAACATTATAAAACGAAAAAAATTGCGAAAGAGATAAAAGAGAATATCGATCCCAAAAAAGCTCCAGTGTTTGATTTCCGATCTAATAGCACGCAAAATATTAAAACAATCACCAAAGAAAGCCATCACTTAGCTTACATGCCTATTTGATGCATCATTTAGACTAAACTATATTCCCAAAATATGAAAAGTTCCATAAACCATAATCATCGAAAAACCAGAAAAGCCACTAAATGAGGTTTCATCCTGTAGTCCTATTTCATTATTGCCTGTACTTTTAAAATTATATGAAAAGATCCTAATAAAAAGACTAAACATTACCATCAAAGAAAACTAATTAATCCCACCACATCACTTTGGCTTTAGAGAGAGTCATTTAACGATAGATCAGGTATAGAGCACTACCGAGGCAGTATTCACAATTATTAAAGTCATGTGTAACTAAGAGACACTTCAGAATGAAGCCAGAGCATACCTACACAGAGTAAAAGGAAATCAAGACAGGAGTGCCACAGGGAAGTGTGCTCGGCCCAGTTCTCTATTTTGTTATACACTGGCGATATCTTCGAACTCGAAAATCGAACAATCACAACATTTGCAGACGACAAAACTGTTCTGGCAGAGGGAAATAATCATGAAGAAACTGCAAGAAATCTACAATCTTCAGTGAACAAGATCAATGATTGGACCAAAAAGTGGAGGATACAATTAAATGAGAACAAATCAGTGCATGTGAATTTCACTAATAAAAAAAAGCAATATGTGCCAATTGAAATAAATGAAACAACCAGATCCTGTTGTAAATACTACGAAATACCTGGGTATGGATTTTTAAAATCCAAAATTGGATTTTTACCAATCTAAGATCACCTTCACTGCATAAAAAGGATTATAGAAAAATCCATTGAATAAAACCAACCAGTGGTCCTGACTTTCGTACTTTCGCCAAGCACTCGATACGATAGAAATTAACAGCATAATGAGAGCGATGTAGGAAAGTCGTATAGATTATTGGTATTCCAAACTTATCGAAAATGTATATATATAATAATGCAACCATGACCGTAAGATTGTTCTGAAGCTATTTTCTTGTGGCATTGTAAATTAATTACTATTTAACTGGGAATAAGCCTCAATTAAAGATAAAAATACGTTTATTGACGTTTCAATTTCCACTTCGGAAATCGTTC